ACCATTGTGTCCCTTTGCCATGTGCTACTGTCATCCCCGTGATTCCTTTCTTGGTGGCCTCGGATTGGGCTCATCTCTGCTGATCTCTCATCTTTGCTGGTAGAGAAACCTGTCCCTGTGCGTGACAGGAGCAACCTTCCCTATAGGATGGATGGAGCAGTGAAGTTTTGGGAGTAACTGTGAGGAGAAAAGCAACATCATCCCATGGCAGCAGTAAATGGAGGTACCGGCTTGTGTTGGTAAGGACCAACTGCTTTGAAAGTATCTAAGTTATGAACAGGAGTCATTGCAGGTTTCATCCCCTGTGGGCTGCAGTATTTCGATCTCCATTTTCCTGGCGAAGTGGAACATTTCCCACTGTTCTTCCCCTTCCTTTCCCACAACATATTCCCCAAGTTCCTGGCCTTGTGGGTGTTTTCATTCTGCACCTGTAGTATCAGCAATAGAAATCCTTGAGTAACCTGCAATCAGCTGATTGAGTTTACTTATTCAAAGCAAGCGGCGTGCACACATTTGTCCTGCTTGCATAGGTGGATGTGGGGTTGCATAGGAGGCACTCGCAGAGGTGATGCAGAGGGCAAAGAGACATCGTGCAGGGCCCCGGGGAGCTGTAACAGCGGGGCCAATACCTGGAGCATCAGCACAGCCCTCAGCAAGCTGCACAAGAGGCTGCTGAAGATCGGGAGCAGGGATTGAGCAAACTCCCACCTCCCTGCAGCAAGTTACACACGCCACTGGAATGGAAGCCCGTCCTTTTTCCCGCCTCAGCAGCGCTGTGGATTGGCTCCGTGTTTGTTTGCTTTCTTTTAAAGAAAACCAAAGCTCCGTGAGCGCGGCCTTTACTCCTCTGCGGTCCGCGGCCGCCCTCCCTTGCCTCCAGCCCCACCTTTCCTAAAGGACGGATGCCAAGCTCGTTGCATCATCGCTGCCCAGCCCTGCGTTCCCCGTGTTAGGGCTCCCTTCGTGCCCCGTTTGCGCTGGGCAGAACCGCGTGCCCACGGGGCAGCCGCGCTGCAGCCTTGGCCTGCGCACGGAGGAGCTGGTTTTACACGTGCTTTGAGCATCGGGGGCTGCTTTGATGTGCAAATGGTCACTGTCCCTGTCAGCTTTGCAGGGGTTCATTCCTACTGCTGCAGCGCCCTGGGAGCACTAGGACAGAGGGAATAGTTGGAGCGGGGTCCGCTGGTGCTGTCACAAGGCCAAGCTCGCTCTGAAAGCCCCTGGCTACCTGGTGGGGCTACGTTGTGCTCCGCTGGGCTATTCCACACAAGCAGAAGCCTCTTTTGCATTTGAGATCACGGCGTCGTTGTGGCTCCTGTCGTCCCACTTGCACAAAAGCTGCCGGATGAGGCAGCATCGCTTCAGGTTGTGCTAAAATTCCTTCTCCTGGGATCGTTCTGAAGCAGAGCAGGGCGATGGGTGGCACCAGGCGTCCGCCTCGCTGCATCCCTGGTTCCTGGTGCCGGCGGCTTTGGGAAAGGAGGAAGGAAGGAGGCCGAATAGCGCGATCCTCCCCTGCACTGAGTCATCACTGCAGCTCACACTGGAACTTTCCCCCTTTGCTCATGCGAAGCAGCAGTTCATCTGAGGTGAAGGCAATGCCAGAAGTCCCTCAGCCCCCGTCTCACATGGGTTGCATCCCAGATCAAAGGCAGAAAACTTGGTGCTTCAAGAAACCCTGTGTCTGTGGTCTCCTGAGAAGCTGAACAACCCTGGAATTTATTTCAGGGTTGTACTAAAAGAGTGGCTGGTCTGTCTTTGATCTGGCTGTCTGCAGGGTCCTTCCTGGTTAGCAAGACAGTTTTCCTAGGTTGAAAGCTTTTAAATGCTCTAACTTCACCACGTGCCTTCCGGAAAGACGAATGTTACTACATGGTGGGAAGCAAAGCACGGGAATTGTGACTCGAAGGGCTCTGAATCGCAAGTGGCGTGGAAGAAGAACTCTGTTTTGGCCCTGAGATTTTTGTTATTTGGACAAGGCTCGTTTATTGGGCACTGCTGTGTTTTGAAAGGGCTGATAAGGGAGGCTTCCCTTGCCCTTCAGTTCTAGGCCATGTGGAAGCTGTTCCCTTTTACGTACACCATGGCCATGCCCACAGCCCACCCAGCAAGCAGACTTCTCACCGGAACCAGAACATGGAAAATGACCCTAAAGAGCTGAGAATTGAGTGTGGAGGCAGAAGACACTATTGTCACAGAAACAGAATGCCTAAATGGGGAAGAGAATGTCAATGTAGCACCTCAGAGGCCTGTGCTCACTAACGGGAAAAGGGTGCTTTTAGACGTGTTAGCTCATCCTTTAAATATCCCTCTGTAAACAAGGAGAGTTTTATTTTTAGCCTAATTGCTGTTCGAAGTGAATCCTGCCTCCTCTGTTCCCTTTCCCTCCTCCCCGCTAGTATTCACCAGGGTGGCTTTATTGGAGGAGCTGTAATGTGTGTTCAGGGATATTTCAGACACATTTCCTTCCCCTCCCCTGCGCTCCCCCGTTATGTACACGTACTATAAGGCAGCCTTGCTGCCTGCTTTAATATATTCCCGTGCCCTTATGTCTGCGGAGTGGCTGGAGGCAGATACACAGGGATCCAGTTCACTCAATAGCTGCAAACACTCCGGACTCCTTCATAGTGCCAAATGGGCTCGAAACACGTCTTATTGCTGGGGTTTTTTGCTTCTCATTTCTCTCGGTTATGTCGGGCGATGCCGCACGCAGGCAGGCAGGAGCATCCCGCGGTCTGCTGCCCTGCCGCTGACTTTGCTGTTCCTGCCCGGATCCCGGCGGCGCTTCCCGACGCGCAGACACTCGAAACCTCCCCGCCTCGCCGCCCGC